GTAGAGACAGCCAAACACATACACAGATACAGAACCAGGCATAAGTCCTTCAACTCAACACCAAAAGAGGCTGCAAGAAATAGTTTCAGCTACATCTGATCACAGATCAAAGCAGCCTTCCAGATGCTTGGTATTTTTTATTAGTAAAATTTTGTACTGCTCCACTGTGGGAATAGAGGCTAACTCACCCTTCCAGCTCAGCTCTACAGCATCACACATGCGAAGACTGGAAACCCAATGAACTAAACTAAATATACAGCACCTGGCAATCTCATTCTCCTCACAGCCCAGCCAAAACACTGCTCCCCTTGCTCTTCACAGATACTGATGCAACAAATCACCAGCCAGAAACCGAAATAATGGGAAGGAGTTTCTCCAAGTGCTGATCAAGCAATTTAAAGTCCACAATTTTAAGAGAACATTTAACACTTTTGAAGGTCAGGCTTACGTACTAGATTGCCTAAATTAGAACCCAGGAACCTAAATCTGCCCACCTCCAGTTATTTATAAGCTTTGTCTTTACTATCTCAAAGTCTATTTGAATACCTTTGAACTTCACTTACTACTCACAAACAATAATTACAGCTCCCCTAACATACTGGAAATAGCAGAAACGAGAACTTCTCCATCATGGTGGTATTAAAAGGCTGACAGAAATAGATTGATGCTATCTGCAAAATGACACAAGGACAGACTTAGACACGGGCTCGGAATTTCAACTAAGGAAACTGCTTTGAGGATCAGGAGAAAAGGCAGACAGGCAGAGCTACAAGCTGTGACCTAAAGTGTTTGTCTACAGGTAACACCAGAAAGACAAATATCCAAAAATGTCAAAAAACAACGTCACTAATTTTTAGATCAATTCATTAGTCCTAGCACCTACTATTGCCAAATAATATTGAAGAACGAGGGAAAAGTCAGCAGTTCCACAAAGGAGCAAGCAATTACAAATTTTTAACTTATGTGACCTCAGCCAAAAATTTATTTGGAAGTACAGATTCAGACCTTTAAAACTTTAATTATGTCTACTAAGGATTAATATAGCACAAGACTATTTAATCATATGTTTAAGTCTTCAATGCAAAGACACATATTAATATCAGGAGTTAAATAAAACAACTAACATAGTAAAATAATTTTGGAAAGTTGGGTTAAAATAGCATCCACTGAAATGAAAGCTTTATGGGGCATAAGACAAATCATTAAAAGAGAATTTTTTAATACCCAGTATATATCCCTCACATGGCTTTAGATTTACCAAACAAAGAATTTGAAAATTCAGATGACTGAGAACTCAAGCCCATTTGTTGTGCAAACAGGAGAGGAAAAAAGAGGATATACGTAAAAAAAGAAGAAAAACTCACAGATTCTTTAATATTGAGCCTAACAGAAATTAGTGTAGTTTAAAAAAATTATTAATTTTTTTTGTGCATGAACTTCATAGAAAGTTAAGGTAATAGATGGTGATCGTAGGTCAGAAAATACAAATTCTCAGAATATGAATGAGGTGAGCTTAATCTAGGATTTTGCCATATGCAACAACAGCTTTATACAAGAGACTAAACTTCTGAAAGGCATTTCCAAAAGATTTGGAAATTACAGTCTACTTTGCAGACTATCAAAAAGATAGTCTACAAGTGTTCAGATACCAAAATGGCTTTGAAAAAAGTGTGAATTTTATGGCTACCTAAACAACATTTACAGAAGACAGGCATAGCAGAAAACTGTAAAACATTTGGTTCTACTATGAGAATTGGTCAGCCAAGCTGATACGGGACAGTGCTGAGTGTCCCACTCATGTCATTACCCACTTTATTAAGATTATTCATATCTCAGAGCTTTACTGCTCAACATTATTCAAATGAGTTTCTTAAATCTTTACTTGAGTATGTTTCTATAATTTTACAGCCAACGCAATTTAAAAAAATAATTATACCTGCAGAACTTTACTTTTCTATGGACTTAGAGCACAGCAGCTGCCTAGAGATTTTAGGAAATAATTCTTCTGTGAAGACAACCTACTCGAGGCAGCATAGCTGAGTTAAACACAGTTTAAGTTACCAATTTCCTCTTTTACAATGCAGTAGGAACGAATAGGAAAATGATATAAGAAAGTACGCTCAATGTGCTCCTTGCAGCAAGTCACATTCAATTACATGCGTCAGTAACTACAGAAATTTGTTACTCTCTTTAGTCACTTTAATCAAGAGAAAATATAACAACACGTTCATTCTTCATAGTCGGCAAAGCATCCAACAGTGGGAAAACCTTTCCCCGCCGCAGGCGGAGCGGCCCCGAGTGCCTCCGGGCTCGCTGTCCCCGCCGCTTCCAGCGCTCACAGCCGCGCCGAGCGCCCCAGCGCAGGGCGCGACCGCCGCCGCCGGCCGCATCAGCCCCGCTCGGCGCGCCGCACCTCCGCTTCAGCGCACGACGCGCCAACGCCCAACCCAAAAACAAGCATGTAAAATAACTTTTAAAAATTGAAAAGAATAGAGCAACTGCTCCCTTTTCCCCCAGAAAGACCACTTAGAAAGCTGCAACCCGTCCCTCCTCCCCGCGGGCAGGACACAGGCGGGGACCCCGCTCCCGGCTGCGCCCGCAGCCAGCACGGACAGCCACCGAAGGGAACGAGGGACCAGGGACGGGACCGCCTGTTCTCCCCGCTGGCCGGGCGGCTGCACAGAGGAGCCTGGCGCCCACCCCTGCTGCCGCCGCCGGCGGAGCGGCACCCCCAGCCCCGGGACCCGGCGATGCCGGCTCCCGCTGGCTCCCGCACGGGACCAGCGCCCCTCACCTGCCCCGCGTCCCAGGAAAGTTGCCGGGCCGCCCGGACAGGACGGCAACAGCCCGCGGCTGCCGCTCGTCACCGCTGGCGGTCCCGCGGCGGGCACGGAGCCGCGGCTGTGACTAAAATAGGCAGAGGAGCCGCGGGAGCCGCGGGCGGCGCCAGCGGGGCCGGCTCCGAGCGGCCGCAGCGCGCAGGCGCCGCCGCGGGCCCGGGGCAGCGGGCGGGCCGGGAGCGGCCGCGGCCCCGCGCCCCTGAGGGCATCGCCCGGGCGCCTCTGAGGGCATCGCCCAGGCACCCCTGAGGGCATCGCCCGGGCACCTTGAGGGCATCGCCCGGGCACTCCGCCCGGACCCGGGGCCGTGGCTGCCGGGCAGCGCTCAACCGAGGCGCCTGAAGCAGGCGAGCCACCGCGCAGAGGTGCAGCCCCGCCGCGCAGCCAGAGCCCCGCGCCCGGCGGCCTGCCCAGCTGTTGTGTGGTTATAATTAGAAGAGCTGAATTCTCCCCTAAACCTGTGGCAAGCAGCATTGCCCCTACATGGTGTGTCAAGGAGCTTCAACAGCCTTTATAAAACTGCTCTCCTCAACTCGGCACCTGCCGCGGTTGCTTGGTGACGAGCGTGATGTTTAAGAAATGTCGCCAAGTTTGCTCGCGGGGCAGTTTGACAGCTCCCACAAACGGCGCGGTTTCAAAGCGGGACGAGTCTGTCCCCGCTTGCTGGCGTCGGCTCTGCCCATGTCCTGTCCAGCCCCCGCCGGCTCTACCGGTCTTACAGGACAGGCGAAGCCGCCACCGAGCGTGCCTTCATCCCCAGGAGGCTGACGAATAGCATTCAGTGAGGAAAGGCAATCCAGCCCATCTCAAAACCTGACCGTCAGGCAGAAAAACCCTTTCAATACATTCTGATGAGCTAGCTACAAAGTGGGGTTTTCAGCAGCCAAGAGCATATGGTCAGCATTATTCTTAAATATTTCTGGAAGGCATACAGGATCCCAACTTGTTTTTGAAGTAACAATTTATACACGTACACATCAACATGTGTCCAAGGAGGCCCTGCCTTTGTCACAGTTATTCTTGGTTTCGCACCTTGGACAAGAGATCAGGATCTCTTCAGGAAAGTGTGCCATGTGAGCAGGGGTTTTATGAATCCTGTTGCCTTGCGTAAGATCTGATTTTCAAAAATATATTATGAAATAATTACGGGGGACTTGATTTGGCACTGTTTCCTCTGGCCAGCCATTTTTATGGATGTATCTTCTCTTTCCTGAGTTATACAGAGTAAGTGAGCTGGAAAAAGGGTAGGAAGAACAAGTCAAGATTCATGGCTACAGGAATGGTCATGAGTGGTAGCATCTAGCATGTGTTTGAGAATGACAGTATTCAGCTACGCTTGCTGGAGCAAAGCCAAGTAGCTTCCAAAAGCTGCACAAAGCAGCCCGACAGAGAGTTCCTACCCCAATCCAAACTGACATGTAAGCATTTTCTAGCATGTTACTGAACATTATGTGTGGGGGAAGCACAGTTTGTTCTACTGGTTGTGTCTAGAAAGTCTTTGTACCTCTCTCTCTCATTACCCTCTAGGTCTTCTCTAATTTTGGGGGAAGCCTTGGTGGTAAACAGCATGTGCTTAGCCCACTGTAAAAAAAAAAAAAAAAAAAAAAAAAAAAAAAAAAAAAAAAAAAAAAAAAAAAAAAAAAAAAAAAAAAATTGTTAGAAAAGCTTGGAAACAAGCTAATAACATTTGCAGCCATGTGACAGTATAGAGCTTTAGTATAGAGCTTTGTCCTGATTGCAGCTAGTCTCTTGGGATTTTCATATTTAGTATATTCATGCTTAAATGATATTTCCCCTCTGCAGCAGAGCAGTAAAAACCAAGACTACATGGAGATGGTGGCATCCACTAGTACAGCTGTCAGCAGGAAGAGGGAAATGGGAGAGGAGCTGAGAAATGCCCCTATATCCTGTCTCTCCAGGAGGACCATAAGCAGGTGGAGCACATAGACATAGCTCTGACTACTCTGACAGACTCTGGTCTTGGGCTGTGGTGTGAATCTGTGCATGGAAGAAAAACTATCTCTAATAGAATCACTGGCATTGATTTTATATAATAGATTATTTGCCTTTAGTTTTTCAGATTATATTAGATAACATTACCTATACTTACACAGATAACAAACATTCTCTAATTAAAAAGTACTAAATAGAATTTATCCCCTTAAATAAAGTCACGTACTGTAGGAAAGTGGGCTGGTCTAATTAAATTAGTCCTACTGCTAAATCACTATAAAGATTGCTTTAATCTATCTTTGTCAACAAGGTCTGCTAATATAAATTAATCTGACAGAGG